CGTGTTTTTGCGTAAGGAGCGCGCTCAGGAAGTGCTGTTCGCCGCGTCCATTTTGCAGATGGACGATGTGAAAAGCGACTGCGAGATGTTTCTTATGCGCTTCCTCTCGCCGTCTAATTGCCTGCCAATCCGCAGCTTTGCCATCCAGCATAACTGCCCGAAGCTGACCCAATCAGCAGACCGCTTCGCGTTGTCCAACTTCCACGACCTGCGACGCACCCCCGACTTCCTGACTATCTCCTGCCACCACCTGACCGAACTGATCGCTGACTCGAACCTGAACGTTGCCTCTGAGGCCGATGTCTTCGAGGCTGTCGTCGCTTGGGTCCAACACGACACACATAATCGATCGAAGATGTTGCCGCTGCTGCTCAGCCACGTCCGTCTTACACAATTGCCGTTGCCGTACCTAGTCGAATTCGTCTGCCGCAACCCGCTGATCAAAGTAAATCACCAAACTATTTTGTAATCCCTTTGATACTGATGACACTCACCTCAAAGACCCCATCTGATCAGTGTGGCGAGACTGCCTGCACTAACCGCTGGATACATTTTTCGCAATTTCGAAACATGGATGCAGATCAGATTCAGATTTGCGTGGCCGGAGGTGCTGAGTCGGTGAAGCGTCTAACTTAGACCGAGTGGTCCCGTTTTTCAGCCTCGGTAGGGTCCCCCACCCTTCTTCCTTTTGAGGTTGATAAACGAATACCACTCTTTAAAAAGTAAATGGGAAGCTAACGATATGCTACCCCATCTGCCTTTAAAATAAGACACTCATAGTTGAAGGCATGAAATCGAAGTTCAGCACCGTACCAGGAGCTTGATGAAAATGGCCTCATTGTAAAAGCGTAGCAATGACCAATATTCCAAAGTTTGGCAAAATGTCCTTTTCTTTTTTTCAGGTTCAGATTCAGATTTACTTTGTGGAATAACGTATGCAATCAAACCCATGTCATTTTTTATGTTAATGCAGCTTCAGTGATAGGAATGGTATGCACTTTAGCGTAAATGAAACCTACCCCAAAAGCAAGCGCACAAGAGCTCACGTTTCAATGATTCCTACGCCTGAAATAAAGTGAGCATAATCCTTCAGGTTGTCTTCAGTATACGGTGCTACCGAAATGAGAACTTTATTCACTTGTTCATTTCAGCAGTCCGTTGTTCGCGTGAAGCAATGCAAGACGGTGACAGTAAAGTAACGAAGTAAACGTCGTAACGGCCTATGATTTGGTGGGGCATTTGCCTACTGTCCCTGTATTTTTTGACGTACACTTTTTAAGCCATGTTTGAAACTGACTGAAATGCATTTTTAGGGCGACCCATACTGCAGCGAACTGGTAAATCAGACTTTTGTACGGGTGCTGGTACAAAGTAGGCTGTTGAAGCCGTCCTCATCATCGGTCAGCATCGACGAGGAGGTGTGCCGACCTCGAAAAAGCGCTGCTGGCGTTTTGTTCTGCGTCGGCGGTCGTGGCTCAAACGGTGACCCGTTCCGTTCGGCCGAGGTCTACGATTGCCTGAACAACGTGTGGTTTGCTGTCAGCGAGATGAACACCAAACGACGCCATGTGGGCGTTGTTTCGGCCAACGGCAAGATCTTTGCAATCGGTGGACACAACGGAACGGAACATTTGAACAGCGTCGAGGTAGGCGTTGCATTGCGAAATACCACATGTCAAACTCGTTTGACATTTCATGGGTGGGGTTCATTTGTAAAAATTTACTTTTGCTATTGTTTTGTTTTCTTTATGCTAAATGTTACGGAAATTTATTTTCCCGAGGTATATACGCTGATCAGAGTTTTGTTATAAGTACCATTTTTGATTCAGTCTTTTATCTTTGATGGAGTGCAGTATTTTTCATAATTGTTTAGGATAGCTCAGTCTGTAGTGCATATGATTTTTAGTTCAAATGGCTCTTTCGTTCTATCCTCACGAGGTAGATAAATAATCGCAGGGAGTACATGCAGAGTATGCTACGTCATTGCAGATGTTTCTTTCATAAATAAGACAGTGCTTGCCGTTCCTTTGCCTAGAGTCTTATTCTTCTAGCTTTATGCCAGTTTTACGATCAACTCCGAACTATCAAAGGAGTATAACGTACCTCTTTGAGGGCTCTACTGATCTCAGAGATTAGCACTAGGATCAAGTTTGCGCACTCGGTGTAGCATCGGACTCAGAACGTGAGGTTACGTGTTCGAGTCCTTATCGAGTCATTCGCGTTTCTTTCATTTGAGGTTAGTAAATGAGCCTCACTCTGTGGGAAGGAAACTACACGCTGTTTGTAGATAACTGCGGTCAACTCGACCTTATTAAGACACTCCCGCGCCAGTGATGATTTATGAAGAGGCCTTCCAAGTCGCCCCTAAGGATGAAAATGTAAAGGAGACCGATATTCCATGGGGTAAAAAGTTCATTTTTTGCAGCCATCATCAAATCTTAGATGACAGATTTCATAATCAAGTTTTGTAAAACTTTCGCAGTCAGTACTCGAAGACTCTAAATGACCCCTTACATGAGCAGTTATCAAAAGCCTTTTCCATAAACCGCGGCTCGTTTAGCAGGATTAATGCATCCACGCTTGAGCAAATTGTTATTTGAGCTGTTCATCTCCACCCCTTTTTCAAAAGGTACCAGAGTAATGAGAAATTTTTTGAGCAGAAGAAGAGCCAGTCAATAAACAAAGCATCGTATGTAAATTGATCTGCATTATTGTTTTTTCCTATACTGCCTCGTTGTTGCTGATGTACATGAATTGTGTATTTGGTTGAAATGTTTTCTACCGTTGATACCTATATGGTGGAATAGCGAAATAAGCTTATGCTTGACTTTATAGCTCAGCTACGGTATTATCACGGTATCAGAAGGCTCCATGAATAATAGAATGCCACATTTGGCGCCTTTACAGAAGAATAAGTGAGAACCTGGGTTATAGACGATGATTTAATTTAAAATGGTAACATACCTCATGCTTACTTTGTGAAAAACGGTCATAGCGGAGTCTCAATAATAGCAGGCAAGTACAACTCAGTGTTCTAGCTGATACAACAGTACTTGTGTGGATCTTGAATCCTTCAGCTGAAGGGCATGGCAAAAAATGCAGTGAGTGTGCATAACGTGCCTGTCCATGAACGGTTCATACATGTTGATAGCGCTTGGGTATGGTGTACTTTATTTCACCCTTTCGAGAACTGTACGAACCCGTATGATATGTTTTATGCTATACTTATATGTTTTTACTTACGATTTAGATGTTCGATCCAAGATTGAACCTATGGGTGGAGAAGACCCCCATGAAGTTCAAGCGTCGCGGTATCGCTCTCGGCTTTTTGGAAGGTGCAATTTACTCTGTTGGGGGCCTCGATGACACGGCCTGCTTTCTGACCGTCGAGCGGTACGACGTGGAATACGATCTATGGACAAGCGTCGCCTCGATGAACATGCAACGTGGCGGCGTCGGCGTGGCTGCCCTCGGCAAGTTCCTGTACGCGGTGGGCGGCAACGACGGCACTTCCTCGTTAAAGTCGTGTGAACGTTACGACCCATACTTAAATAGATGGAAGCAGGTCGCAGAAATGAACTTTAGGAGGGCCGGAGCCGGAGTAGCTGTTTTGAACGGCTTCATGTAACTTACCATTTTCATATGCAGTTGTTTTTTCGACTAAGCCATAGTAAAACTATGGTTGTGCTACGCAAGCTGAGGGAGAGAATGACCATTAATTGAGGGACTGACTGGAACCTTAGCTGCCACACCGTTCTTCGTCTAGTTTACAAAAAAATATAAGATGGTCGCGGGTTTACTAGATTTGCAGCAGAAAGTGTCACCACAAATAATGTTTATCATGAGGAATTCATGTCGCGGCTGTGATAACCTTTTTTTCTGTTTTTCACGGGACAAGATTAGCAGGGCAGGAACAACTTAGTTGCAGCCGGTGGTCATGGGTCAGCATCAATGGCACTACATGCAAGCATGAAGCATCTGTAAGTTTTGCGACGAGTAGTGCTACGGGCTGAATGACATTAATCATCCATAACACCGTAACACATTCAATAACTGTGTTACACTGTTCAGTGACTGTGTTACATGAGCAGATTAACTTCAAAATTTATAGGCAGTATAAAATCGCCATCCCGGACTTTTGACAAGAAATTTTGTATGATGGATATGTAATTCATACATTTTTAAGAATTCTGACTAATTTGTAGCCACAATGCGTTGTTACCTTTATATGATGTTACATTCGAGCAAGAAACAGTTGACCGTCAGCGCAGTTGACCTCCGCTGCGACTTGTGATACAAGCTTTGCGTACTGCCTCAGCAAAGCTTGTTTGCTGTTATTTGTAGCTGTTAAGTTTCATATTTAAATTTTGCTAAAAATTAAAATTCACTGATAAATCTCACGAAGCACTAAATATATCTGAAAGTATAAATGTTCAGGTAACATTTTATCGCATTGATCTTTTATTGTCGGTTAGGCAAAATTACTTTATTTTTGATAGGTGCAACTTTCTGACACGCTTTTAGACGAATGCGTGCAGCAGCATAATTCTTATGTTTAAATCCGTGTTTGTACGCCCCCTCCCATTGAGTGATTCTGTATGTCTTGACTTTCAGTTATTGTTCATTTGTAAGTTGAGTAACCCAGCTGTCCAAAAGGATAGATTAAGAAGAGCCAACTTCCGAATTAATCCGCAAAAAAATTCATCGTGAAATCATTTTATACCGTTGAATTTGCCCTCTGAACAGTAAATGTCACCACTTATAGTCAAGCCAAACTGAAAATCCGTAATACTTTATCTGGGGTATCAGAGAATGGAGAGGGTAACATTCTTCATACTGTTTAATAAAAATCCGGCGAAATAATGTTCCGCAGACTTTTGTATCAACATGGTAATTCCTGTAAACAGAAATGACATTTGTGAATAAAACTGAGCGACCTCTATTAACTGCTCCTCATTTCGTCAGTGACCCACCTTGCATTATAAGGTTAAAAAGC